GTCTGGCAGCTGAATTTTGCAAGCGCTGCAACTTATTTAATTGCTTTGTAGGTAAACCATGCAAGACGCTATTGCAGTAGTCTAATTTAGACGTCACAAAAGCATGTACTAAGCGTTCTGTGCTCGTTTGATCAAGATACTTCCTAATTCTACCAATATTTCTAATTGCTAATGAGGCTGTGCGGCATAGATTATTCACATGACTAGACATAGTAAGATGTCTGTCAAAAATAACTCCGAGGTTTCGTGCTTCCCCATTAATTGATATGAAATGYTGACTAATACTGATACTAGAAATAGGAGCGTGGTTTGAAAAACGAGAATAAAAATGAACGATCTCAGTCTTAGAAGGATTGTTRCTAAGCCTATTTTCTAGAAAAAAGGACTGAATGTCATTAATACATAGTTCAAGATTGTTTATAGCAGAATGTCTATGATCAGGATTCATTGTTATGTACAGCTGAGAGTCGTCAGCATACATCATGCAGTCAAGGCCATGAGATTTAATTACTTCTTCCAAAGGAGCAAAGTATAAGATAAACAGCAGTGGGCCAAGCACCGAACCTTGAGCTACGCCGGACTTCATAAGCTGAGGACTGGACTCGGTATTTCCAAGTACGACTTTCTGAGAGCGCTCTCGTATGTAAGACTCAAACCATCGAAGTACTATTCCTGTAAAGCCATATTTGTTGTTCAATCTATTTATGAGTATGTCGTGGTCGATGGTGTCGAAAGCAGCCGACAGGTCAAGAAGAACAAGAWTCACTTCCTTCCTGTGGTCGATCGTTCTAAGAATATCGTTGTGAACTCGTAGGAGAGCCGTTTCTGTACTGTGGAATTCTTGATATGCTGATTGTAATTTGGGATAGAGTTGATTTCTTGAGAGATAATCACGTACTTGAATAGAAGCGATACGCTCAAKAACTTTTGACAAGAATGCAAGATTCGTTATAGGCCGATAGTTAGAGAAGTCATCCTTATCTAATGAGGTTTTCTTGATTTTTGGAAGTAACCGACCCTCTTTGAAGGCAGTTGGAAAAACACCCTTTTGAAGTGAAGAGTTTATTAAAGTTGTTATTACAGGAAGTAGTTCCATAATACAGGTCTTTAATATTCGTGTTGGAATAGGATCGGAAGGGCATGACTTGGAAGGTGACTTCTCGACTATTTTACGTATCGATTYCGGTGAGACTTGGTCAAATCTTGCTAGAGAGCARTTAAGAGGAAACTTGGGGCTCAAGATCGSCTTAGACATCGGTGTAGGAAGTAATGTCTGTCTTAGTTTGACGATCTTGTCGGTAAAATAAGTGTTGAATCTTTCAGTGAGCTCATAAGCTGAAGTATATGAAGGGAGAGGAGGCACTGGTTTAACCTTGAACATGCCATCAACTAAACGGAACAGCTGTCTCTGATCAGCAGACTCARTTTTAGATTTATAGTACTCAGTTTTATGTTGATCCACTGATAACGTATATTTTCTACATTGTTCATGGTATATTTGTCTGTGTACCTCCAAACCAGAGTTCCGATAGACACGTTCCCAGCGGCGTTTTTCGCGTTTAAGRTCACGTAATTCAGCGGTATACCACGGTGCGTGAGGGCGGAGAGTGATAGAACGGCAAAGCTCCGGAGCGTGTTTGTCAAGTATCGTACGTAGTTCTGAGTTGTAAAGCTCAGCTAATTCCTCAGGATCAGGGTCGTGGCTATCGTTTCTTGGCAAAGATGACTCAAGTATATCCTGTTTAAATGCGTCCATGTCAATGTCTCTCAGGCGGCGTTGTTTGTATTGTGATTTACTGGMAGCTGGTTTGGCGAAGGCTATAGAGCAGATCACGGCGCTGTGATCAGACGGGAGATCATCTATAACCGAGAATTCCGATAATTTCGTATCTTCCTGTCTGTCAATAATAAGATCCAGAGTGTGTCCGCTGCGATGCGTTGGGGCTGTAATATGTTGTTCCAGGCCAGCCGATTCCAATATATCCTTGAATGCGTTCGCMGAAGTATCATTTTCTTTATCCATATGAAAGTTAAAGTCACCGTTTAACAATAAATAATCAGAAGCTAAAGTGAGCGTTTCAAGTAGCGTTGAAAAGTCATTAAAAAAGGTATCTGGAGTTGAGCGATTTTTCTTCGAAGAGGGCGGTCTATAGATGGTTACTAGACGGATGGAAGATGTACCATGACTAATAGTCAAGACCATGTATTCCATCGATGGAAGCGGAATACAGTCATTTCTTGTGACTTTGAAGCCCTTCCGCAGTAAGATACCAACTCCACCGCCAGGTCTGTCGATTCTAGGAACYTGATGGAATTCGAAATCTTTCAGAGTATTCRATATTTCAGCCATAGTGTTATTACTATGAAAATCAGCAAAGAGCCAAGTTTCAGTAATTGCTAAGATGTCTAGGTGTTTAGATATTACCAAATCACAAATTGAGCCGGACTTCTTGTTTATAGATTGTGCATTCCAAGCTCCAAATTTGATTTTAGTCGGCTTAGAATTAATGTGTTGAATAGGGACGAGATTTTGAAGATTCCTTTGTTCAGCCAAGCGATTACTGCATTGAAGAGTCCTACTTTGCCTTCGTCTTTGCGAGATATTAAGCACAGGAATAGGTCTAGTAGTTGATGAAAACTGGTATGTTCGATTATAGAAGCTGTGATGTATGGCAGTTGGTATAAGATTTAGGAACAGATCCGGTGAAACAGGAGCATTAGATCTTGAGTGCGAAATTTCTGTTCTTGAATATTTAATTATCGCAGGAGCATTTTGGTTTCGTAATGTAGGATTCTGAATAAGTCCCGAACAATTCGTAGCGACCACTGGTCCAGGATTCCTCTGGACATCCATGTGTATAGTAAGGTCTGTCCAAAATAGTTTATCAGGCAAGGCCAGGAGCACAGAGCCATGTTTGGTGGTCTTTAAGGCCGGAGTTGAGATATTCAGATGAGATGGAGAATTGATGCGCTTGAATTGAATCTTTGAAGTTAAGAGAAACCTGCTGAATTCATTCCAGATACACCAATTTTGCACGTTATTGGCAGACTTTCCTAGAGTTTCCAACTTTGGATACTCATAGTGGTGAATTGAGGTTTCTAGGAGTGCTCCCAAAGCTAAAATCCGAACAAGTAAACAGAGCCAGCTATCAGTGTGGCCGGCCATATTGTTTAGGCTCGTGGTCTGACATTACGTTCCGGCGAATGATGATGAATTAAAGGACAGTTCCCTCCGTTCATAGCGCACTCTCCTAGGTTGCAATAATTCATTTTCCTCTTTCGTTTTGGTTTAATATGTTTTGTTTTTGTTGTTTTGTTGTTTGTTTTTTTCAAAAAAATGTTTAAAAATTTGGGGGGCACGTGACCCCTCCTCCCCCGAATTCAGCTCCCCCCGAATTCCCCTCCCCCCGCTACGCTACTGGATTCAAGATTGTTTTGAGATTTGTAAGCATCTTAATAGAATTACAACTCATTTCATGCATCAGCGAGGTTAGATTTTTTATATAATTTCCTTTTCAGAAACAACAAAACAAGCCGTTTGTGGTGATCAACATAAAACTGAGCAATTTTTTAACGGTACCTGGTCGAAAATCGAGAAATCCCTTTCGATAAAGTTGTGTGGAAACGAACAGAAGTGTGCTGATGGATCGTACTCGTATGAAGCACTTTATAATATATCCGGATATATTTTCTACACTAACGTTTCAGTACAGTCGGGGAAAGGCTGTTTAAATACATCATGGTGTTCTGACCCATGTGCGTCACTGAAAAGACAACTTTCATCAAGCTCACAACTACGTATGAAAACGTGCAATATCACTTGTTGTGATGGAGACTACTGTAACATCAAAAACGCATCTGGTATTTGAATTTAACTATTTATTCTTGCTTTAACGAATTAAATCTTTTTTKTTAGGATKTTGGTTGGCTTTGTTTTGGTTATTTTTGGTGTTATCGTTGTTGATTGTAGATATTTTAAAATCATTATAAATTTTTGTTTTTTGTTTTTTGTTTTGCTGCATTTCCTAATCCCTGCTGGTGTATTTATTGTCCTTTTTTTGTTGTTGTTGCTGGTGATGGGTATCGGTCTCGATATTGTTTTTTTTATTAACGTCTATTTATTTTAAATTTAGACACTTTTGTTGTCTAGTTTGTCCGCCAGTGTTTTTTTCTAGTTTGCTTCAGTCTTTAGCGTTTAGTGCCTTTTCTGTTATTATTATTATTATTGTTGTTGCYGGTGGTGATGGTGGTGGTGGACTTCCTCGTTTTAATCAATCAATATTGTCTTTGTTGAGTTTTGTTCGTTGTTGTCGTCGTTTTTGATATACATGTGAACATTCAAATTTTATTTTAGCTRTCCGAGTGCGAGGTAGCTTCCTCCCTCGATAAGATTAACTACGAAAGGGTGTGAGCGATTTTTGATATTTTGCTCTTTTAAAAAGTTATTGAATTTTAAAGTTGAACCGTCAAAAAATTTTAATGCCTGTTAATGTTTTACCGCATATTTCTTGCAGGGATCAACATGTGTGCTACCAATCCATGTTTCAACAGAGGAACATGCTCTCCTCAGGTGAATGGCTACTCGTGTACATGTGTACCAGGATACACCGGAAAGAGATGTGAAAGCAGTACGTTTTTATAGCTATTGTCTAATTTTTAAAAGATTCAGGAAAAGGTTCACATATCGTAGCTCAGAGCTTTGAAATTATTCCAAAACGGTCGGTTTATGTGTGTGTGTGTTTTTTAGAAACTATTGATCATTGGGGAATCTAGGGTGCGGCGTAGCGTAGCAATCAGCGAGTTAGCCGTGCCCTGACTCATAGATCAGGCCAAGGGTTGATTGAGGCAAGGCGATAAAATTTGAAAGTTATTGGAATACCCCCTCCCCCGGGATTTCATTATAATCGTCATCATAATCACAAGGAAAGCAATCATTCCACCTATAAGTTTCATTTCTATTCAGAATAGTCCCCTTCTCAGTTTCCTACGCCATCTTGAAAGGTAGCCGTGCCTTTGCATCGAAGCGAGACGAACGGTGAGCTTGCAATGATAGAGACCTTTTTTAACACCGTGGACAATTATTCACATGTCTCTATCATTGCAAGCTCACCGTTCGTCTCGCTTCGATGCAAAGGCACGGCTACCTTTCAAGATGGCGAAGGAAACTGCGAAAGGAACTATTTTTCCAACGTTGAATTTTCAATTGATAACCAAGAAGATGTATGTATATCTTTTATAATTACTCTTTACAATTATTTTTGTATTGTATTATATCTATGCAGAGGTACCTGGTTACACTGTGTGTGGTTCCTCTCACCAAGCAAAGGCTAGTAGTGGTCAAATCGTGCAGGATGACAAACTTACCATTCAAGCTTGCCCTAACTCCCAGAAATGTTATAACGCCACATACAGAGTRGAGAAAGCCTTTGAAGGGGGTATGAAGATATTTGTTGATGGATCTATCAGAGGCTGTCTTAATGCTATGAACTGTTCTGATCTGTATGCCTATGGAAAAAGCCTTCTTGAGACAGACAACACAGTTAAAATGATTGCCGGTCATGGTGTTTGTTGTGATGGGGATTTTTGTAACTTTGCCAGTGTTTCTCCCCCAGGTGATTATATTCTTCTTTTGTTTYGTGTTTTACTTTTAGATGTTGAATGACAAGAACGATAATCATTAAGAAAAAAAATCATTTCGTGTGACAACAGAATTCTAGTGTTTTGCCATCCAACATGGCTGCCATCCGGCATACCTTAATCGTGCAAAACCTTGGCTTTAGTTGCTGTATGTATGTAACATGCTTGTTACCAATATAAGAGCTGAATGAATCTCATCAGCTTCGTCATCAAATGAATCTCAACATATCTTTTTTCACATGGTGTTTGAGTTTCCTCCTATTTCACTTTTTAATCCACCAACCGGTTGACCCAGTTGGTTGAGCATCGGACTTTTGAGCGGGAAGTTCTGGTTAGAGTCCCGGCAGGATCAACACTCAGGGTCTTAAAATAACTGAGAAGAAATTGCTGCCTTTGTAATTACATCTACAAATATTGGTACTAGACTTTTGAGTGGCTAGGATGTCCACTTTAAATAGCGGTCCCGTCGATCTCTCCACACTTCATCATTACTAACCAATATCTTGACTTAAAAGAGCAACCGAAGACGTAAAGAAACCCTGGCAGTGACCACCCTTAGTGCCTACACCTAATACTAACCATACCTCATGGTTGTAAAATGCACAAAAAGCAACCTGACATTAATTCACATTTCAATATAAAGCGCCTTTGATCATGTCTATACAGAAATATCTATATAGAAAGGACACTATAGAAATAATAAATCAGTTATCATCATTATTAATTTTTGCATATGCGGGGTGTATTACCGATTGCAAATTCGTAGCCTGGGAACATTTGACTTTCATTTACAGCAATTTATAAATACCTATTCCTTGTAGAAATCAACGAATGCGCGAGTAATCCATGTCTTCAAGGTGGTACTTGCATGGAACGGGCTGGTGGCTACGCGTGTCAATGCGTTTCAGGATACAATGGAAGAAGATGTGAAAACAGTAATTTATCCTATTATTATTATTATTATTATTATTATTATTATTATTATTATCCTTAATAAAAATCCTTCAAAAGTTTTAATATGATGCAGACAAAAGATTAGACGAAGCACAAATTCAGTTACGGGATCATTTTGTTTGAATTTGCAGATATTAACGAATGTTTAAGTAACCCCTGTCGTAATGGTGGAATATGTAGCGATCGTGTGAACGGCTACTCGTGCGCATGCACAGCAGGATTCACCGGAAATGACTGTGAAAATGGTACGTTAAAATGACAAAAATTCTGTCTTGTTTTTTCATCATCGCAGTTGCAGATAATTTTATGCTGTGGTACAGCTTACAATGTTCAGGAGAGGATCCACGAAATTTTAGAAGGGGTTGACTATTACAAAGATTTTACCAGGAATTCAAGTAGTGATATATTCACATGAAGATTGTTAAGAATTCTTAAGAATTGCATTGAATACTAAAACTCCTGTAAAATTGTATCTAATCAATGATAATTGTATATTTAAACAGAAGATCACATGGTYGTTTCGCTTACTTGTAAGATATCACTCCACACTCGAAGATAAAATTCGTATCTCCGCGCGGCTTTGTGATAATCGTTAGGTATTATATATCAACTAAGGCTGTCTTTGCTTTACAGTTGATTTTTGCTTCTTCGAGCCGTGTCGAAATAACGGCACATGTATGCTAGATCCAAAGGACGCGTCCGGTTATACCTGTAATTGTAAAACCGGTTATAAAGGAGACAGATGCGAACAAGGTTAGTGAGGAGTAACTATTGCCGTTACAAGGGGCTGTTACATGGCTCCCGGGAGGTATGGAAGTCATGGGGGTTTAGTCCCGTGCAGGGAAAGGGTGCGGCGTATTTTAAWTACAGAGAAATGCGTGCGTGGGGACAGTTGGGGATTCTTGGCTGTCAAAACCACGGTTGGCTAACTGTACGTCTGGAAACTGAAAACCGTTAAAGTGAAATAAATGAAATAAAGGTTACATTCAGTATACGAAATTGTTACCGTTTTTTACTTTTATGTTTTAGCTCCTTGTTTTTGGAGAAACATGTATCCATACGGACCCAAGCAAGATGACAGAAAGGTGCCGGAAGATGGCAGATATGCATGGAAGTGTTTGGAGGTTAAAAAYGTTCCAGCTCAGGGGATTGAATTCTATGGCAGGAGACACAAGAGTTTAGAAGTAAGAAATTAAATGAAGTCCATCAATCCGTAATATACCTTTTTACTGATATGGCAGCTATCTTGAATTCTTTTGTTTTATTTAAGACACTTTGGGATGCGTAGGGGGAACTATTGGAAATTTAGACTGTACAGCTGTCAGGATGTACTTTTATATAACAATGCGAAATTTTTAATAAGAAGCACATGTAAAAGCAATTGAACTTGCTGGTAATTGGAATAATATCAAAGACAAATAAATACAAAGACTTATTATTACAAAGACTTATCATTATGATCATTTATTATATTACTTAAAACGTAACCCCTCCCCACGCTATATACTTTATAAGTTTTCTACGTTTTACCCCTCGGCTTCCCATCATTCAAGATGGCCGCCGTATCAGGAAAAGGGCCCGGGAAAAAGGTATATCAATATCATCCAGTCAACCAATCATTTGCAAAATTGACATCCAACTACCACCCAGCCACCCAGCCAGCCAGCCAGCCAGCCACCCAGCCACCCCCCCTTACATTCATACTTCCTTTCGTTCATATTTTATAATTATATGTATTTGATGCACATTTCTATTTGCTCGTTAGATTTGTAGAAATGGCATTATTCAGTTTGGTAATCCATACTCTCGTTGGTATCCGTACAAGTTCGGCCGACGTTACTTTTTAAATGATGCGTCAATACTTGCACCCTACTGGTCCATGATCGATAATTATTGGTCGTTCTATTCAAGGGATTATTATTTTGGAAGATATATCTATGACAAACGAAGACGTCGATACATATACAGGTAGAGTAACTAATTATAAACGACATTTATTATATGACTGTGAATCTTAGAGCCTGGACACTAGCAAATCGAGCAATCTGATTGGATAGATCGCATCGCGGACTGGTCTAGATTCTCCGGTATTAACCGGTCCGATCGCATATTAATCTTACGGCGAAAACAYTTTGTCCTTTTCAATGAAAAGTGGTCATATAATAAAACTCTTATCAACCGAGCTTGGTCGGTCTGTACGGGGTAATCTTGACCTCGGTCTGTACATTCCGACCTCGGTCAAGATTATCTCGTACAGACCTCCCGCTCGGTTAATAAGATCTAAATATTATATTATCACAGTTTCTTTGGTCGTGTTTCTCTTTATATTCTACTTGGGAATGTGTAAGAAAGGACACCATGTTAAATGACTCTTCCCCGCGCTATCTTGGATGGTAAAGACGCCAAGTGAGGAAGTGATATAAATGATGACATTGGACGTTTGTATGATGGCCCCAAGAAGGAATGTCATGAAGCATCTTGGTATTGGCAATCAAACGTCCTATTGCGAGTTTAAAAGAATTGAGCGAACAAATCACGTGCATACTGTACGCACGTGACGCGAAATGACCAAATGAATCGTGAAGAACGACCCTAAAAATTCTGATAATTCCAGCTTCAGTAAAACCCCGCGTGTAAGGACCTAGATTTTTCTAAGTCAGCCTGAATAGGTTCTTATATAAATGGTTCTTAACTTGAAATCAGGCTATCTAGGTTTTTAAATGGGTTCTTAATTTTTGGTAAGAAATTGAGTACTTGTATTGGTGGGCGTGGCATTTTATACATTAAATAATTCACACATTTTCATGCTAGCTACATGGAATATAGTAGAGTTTAAACATTAAAAGCACTTAAATCTAATCTTATTTCATGGACACAGTGTAAGCACTCTAAAATGAAGAGTACTGTATTTTATTATTTACAAGAAAATAAAACAGATTAACTTTATAATTGGAAATTAAGAACCTACTTTGAGATTTCAGCTTGAAATGGTTCTTACGTGTAGGGTGCTTAAAATGAAAATGTCAGCCTGACAGGTTCTTAAATTTTAGGTTCTTATRCGCGGGGTTTTACTGTAGCTTATCAATAGTAATCAGTAGTTTAATAAATTTCTTTTTGTACAGGAGATWTACAATCCCTTTCGATCCTAAGAGACAATCGAAAGTTTACTACCAAACGTACAGCAGATGGAATATGACTAGTGCCACTAGGGCCATGCTCAACAGGTCCTCAGAGGATGTCAGGAGGTACGCTGGCAAAACGTTTGAGGATTTCAAGGCCACCTTTGYTATCGTGGTAACATGGGTTAACCTGTATCCAAGGTTGTACCAGTATGTTTGGAGATATTTCCCGCTGGTRAGTTGAGATACCTGTATTTCAAGCGCTTTCATCCGGTATGGTCTCATAGGAACTCCATTACATTCTCCATCCATGCTTGATTGTAAAAATCACTAAATTTAATCTAAAGCTGAACGAATAAGAGAGAAGTCGAAAAAAGTGTTTGAAATCACGGACCCCTTGCATTGCTGACACTGGACCAAGTTAGACACCCTTGTTTCTAAGAAAATAACAACTGATATCTACGCTTAAAAGGTACCAAACGAGCAAACAATGAAGCGACTTGAAATAAAAAACGCATGAACTTATTAATACGAATAAAATATAATSTCACTCAAATTTATTAAATTGATATATTTGTTTGTTGTATTTCAGTCTAATACATTCCAAGCTGTGATCATCACGAATGGCCTAAATACATTCACCATGTTCAACTATCCGTGTGGTGGAATGCAGTGGGCTGCACCAGTAGAGAGGTAGGTAGTGTTGTAAGGTACCCACATTCAACTATCCTTGTGGTGGAATGCAGTGGGCTGCACCAGTAGAGAGGTAGGTAGTGTTGTAAGGTAACCATATTCAACTATTCGTGTGGTGGAATACAGTGGGCTGCACCAGT